ACAAGTCCGCATCTTGTACAGCAATTAACCACTAAGAAGAATATATGCAGTGTAATATTTGTTGAAACTGTACTTCCGACTTGATTTGAAACTGTCTCATAGCTGTTTATCAATAAAACTTTGAAAAAAAAAAAAAGAAAAAAGTGCTCGGGCCTATTAATAATGTTTTAACTGCTGGGCAGTTAAATGTTCATTTTATACTCATCCAATGTCCATTTCATAACCATGCAAGTATCTAGAGTTCATGTCACTAAGATTTCATCTGCAGGGCTAAAAAGCCAATTGTTCTTGTTGGTTGTTTCGCTAGAGCTACCTCCTTACCAGGCCAGCTATAATTTCTGGATTTGATCAAGCATCATGCATGTTCTGCTGAACCAACCAAGGCTAGGAAACCATCCTAGATCAGTAACTATGCATTTGTTCTACTGATTTCGTGCTGAGACAGTGATTGAGATTGGGCATGGTGGCACGCGCCAGTAATCCCAGCACTTGGAAGGCTATAAACAGGAGAATCACTATGAGTCCCATCTAGTAGTGAGACCCTGAATACCCTTTCCTAATACAAAAATAAATAAATTAGGGCTGGTGAGATGACTCAGTGGTTTAAAGCACCTACTTCGAACAAGCTCAGCAAAGCACAGGGACCACAGTTCAATCCCCCAGCACCACATGCCAGCCAGCCCCGCCCCCTGGTGGGCTGAGCTGGCCACACACACACACACATAAAATTTAAAAATAAATAAATAAATTAAATAAAACCTAATGAAGGGCTGGCCAGATAGCTCAGCAGATTAAAGTGCCTGCAAGGGCAGATGCCGGGGTCAGATGTTCGATCCCCTGCCTGCCGTGCCAGCCCAGCCTCTGGGGCATACTGAGAGGGCAATTGAGACTTGGCATGGTCACACATGCCTGTAATCTCAGCACTTGGGAAGCTGAAAACAGGAGAATCACTTTAAGTGCAATCTGTGTGTAGGCCCTGCACTAAATACAAAATAAATAAATACATGAATAAAGCCTAATGATATTTCTCCTTTACACAACACTGCCTTTTCATAAAGTTTCTTTGCAAATTCTCCTAGTACTGGCTTTTCAATTCTTTAAACCCTCAGGTTCCATTGTAAGTTACCCTGACTTCATACTTCAAACGTTAATAAAAGCTATTGTCCAAGCTCTCACATAGCAATGCCAGGCTTTTCATCACATAGCTAATGACATTTTAATATGATAGTACACAAAACTCTAAGATTCTTATCAGATAATAAATGTGAAAACTATCTTCACAAAGCACCTCACGCTGGAATGTCTTATAAACCCAGGAAAAACTTTAAATGTCCTAAATGTTTTACAGAATCAAAACCCCCAAAACTGTGTAGTCTAATATACAAAGATACCAAACACAACTTCAAACCACAAGACATCATAGATCTTTAATTTTATAATCCAATATTTTCAAATGTATAATACATAGAACTAGTATGTTCAGAATATTCTTTTAAACAAACTAACCAATTCCTTAAATTCTCATTGTGGGCCTAAGGTCTTCCAGAGCTTTTTCAGCTATGTATTTCAGCAACATCTAGACTAGTGCTACAGAAGTCAGCCGTCTGCTATCATTAAAAGATCTAAAAGGTTTGCCATCGCTGATTAGGCTCTCATCCCGCCCAGACACTCATACATGGAATTTTAGGTAAATGAATGGGTAAGAGAAAGAGTTTGTGGGAGAGAGTATCAAGGAATGTCCAATGAAGCTCATGTCAAATCTCAGAATTTATACTAAGTCTCTGAGTACAAAATAGAGACACAAGAGCTTTGATACTAGTAAACAGCTCAGAAATTCAAATGCTTTCTTCTCTCATCCTCTAAAAAGGCTTTACAAAATAAACGAATCCCCTTTCAAACATATACAATTACTTTGCACTGTGAATTATGATTATGCATTTGTAACCTAAAAAAAAAAACCTACTCAAGATGCAAAAATAATTAAAAATACTGTGTTTTGAAAGACTATAGTGTTATGAAGCAAACTGTAATGCGCTACTTGACAAAGGGACAAGCAATCAAATCTGTATGGTATGGAAAAAAAATCTCATTTCTCACTTTGTTTCATTAAAATGTCTTCAAACACACCAAATTATAGGAAGTATCTGTTTTTTGTTTTAAGTATCTGTTTTAAGGAAAGTAACAGAAGTTCTGAAAAATACAGACTACGCAGAGCAAAAGTGTTACAACATACATAAATCATTATAGGTCTGAAAGATTCTCATTGCTTTACTAACTGCTTAAAGACTATAAGGGAGCCACTAGATTGTATTATGTACTCCTACCATTAAGAACATATATACACATATACGGATTTTACTCATACCAGTATCAGCCTCCTCTTTTAATTGTTTCAAGTAAATGCAATAGTTCCAGAGAGATAAGCTATTGTTCTAGGTACTTTTGGTCTAAGGTTACCTAATCAATGTACCTCAATATTACAGTGTCTGATTCATATTAATTCCCTCAGGAAATTATCATCAATAGAAAATTCAAATAAAAACAGACAGTAATGTCATACAGAATTTGCAGCCCATTAAGACCTACGTACCGGCAAGTCCACACTAACATCAGTACCATCCAGAAGGGACACCCGACACGTGATTATGGACTTGGAATCTCCAGCTGCAGGAATGTGTGTGGCAGCTCGTTGTGCCTCTCGGAGTCGTTCCTTCTCAGCATGTTTACGCATGGAGCGGCGCCCCAGAGTTCTTCGGAGGAAGCTCAGCATTTTGCCTCACTAAAACTGGATAGAACAAGACAACATCACAAGACTCTCCACAACTTGCTGTCAAACAAATACTATTATTTACAAAAGTCCTATGAATATTAAATTGAAAAAAATTAAACTGATTGACTATCTTTTTCTTTTTTTGATGTGGTACTAGCGATGGAATCCAGAATGTGGCTAAGTTTTAAGCTGAGCTCCAATTCGTGATCTTCCCACCTCTGTCTCCCAGCTGCCAACTTTTTATGTACAGCAAATATATAAATTTTTGTCAATTAAAGATAAACTTATCCTTAAAAACTGGTTACTTTAACTTGAAGTTTTAAAGGCTTTTAACAACAGGGCTGGGAAGAGAGCTCGGTGGCGTAAGTGCTTGATTGGCAAGTGCAAAGTCCTGAGTCCATCCCAGGTACCACAAAAAAAAAAAAAAAAAAAAAAAAAAAACACAAATGAATAAATAAATAAAGCTAAGCAAAACTATTAAAATAGGCATTAATAATTTTTTTTTTTAAATATAGCACGGTGTTGGCCTAGGCCTGTAATCCCAGAGCTGGGGAGGCTGAGACAAAAAGACCACTAAGAGTCTGAGCTGTATAGTGAGACCCTGTACCAAATAAATAAATAATTAAAATATATACAGGGGCTGAGCAGATGGCTCAGTGGAATAAGCGCTTCCCTGGCAAGCGCAAGAACCTGAGTTCAATCCCCGGTTCTGCAAAATAAATAAATAAATAAATAAAT